TCTTGAGTTTTAGATTAGTCTTTTTGTAAAAGTCACTCTGTCTACTTAATTTTTCCTTTCTGGTTTCCTAAAATCGCAACCACCTCTGTCACCACTACCACCCCATCAAACAAAAGAAAAAAAGATCATAGGTACTCACTTGAGTGGAATCACTCTTCAGTTGGGAAGTATGAGTATGTGAGTTGATTTGAGTGGGAGAGCAGTTGTCTTCTGACTTCCATAATTGTTAGAGGCTGGTACAGTTCTCTAGCAACTTCTAAAATGTTCCTGCAATGATTGAATAACTGGTGTGCTGCCAGGTGAGCTTTGGACTGCTAACCACAAGGTGGTTGGTCCAGAACCCACCAACTGCTTCTCAGGAGAAAGGTGAAGCTGTATAGAGTTGCTGTGAGTTGGAATCGAGTCAGTGGTAGTGGGTGGGTTAGATACACAGATGATGGCTCCCTTCTCAACACCAGCCTAAACACCTGTAACCAAACCCGCTGCCATAGAGTCTGCTCCGATCTGTGGCAACCTGGTCAAGAACGTCAGAGAACTGCTCCATAGAGTTTCCAAGAGGGCAAATCTTTGGGGAGCAGCTAGCCTCATCTTTTTACCTCAGGTTCACTGTGGGTTTGTGCTACCGACCTTGAGGTTCGAAGCCCACAGCACCGCCAGAGCACCACCAACTGTATCTTCAAACTCAATTACAAGTACGTTCAAAATTTGTAGTACATTTGGGTATTGATTTATAAAAGGCATCAGGATATGTAGAGTTCAGATTTGAATTGCCTCCCTGGATGTAAATTTGAGGGCTAGTTAATAAATTGCAGGCTCGGTGTTAACTTCCTTTCCTCCTGATTTATAAGGCTAAGCCAAAAAGCACTTGTCACAGGAATCTCTATGCATTGTCATAGGAATCTTTATGAGAAAAGTCAAAATGGGGAGCTGTTACCGACTCACACCGACCCTATAGGACAGGCTAGAACTGCCTCTTTGAGTTTTCGTGACTGTAACTCTTCACTGGAGTAGAAAGCCCCATCATTTTCCCAGGACGAAGGTAAGACCAAGATACATGGTCCTGATGATGCAGACCATGAGCACAAGGCCATAACGGTGTCCAAGGGTTCACAGCAAGTGGCCACTTGAATAGGCATGGAGAGCAAAGAGAATGGTTGCAGTCATGATTGGCAGCAGATTGATTCGTCGCAGTTACAGGTGGGACAAGTGAGAAAGGGACCATTGTGGGATAGGTGCACTGTTTGCAGATTACAAAAGCCTGTACAATTGGTTCAGGGTACAACTCAGGGCTATTCACCCCCTAGCACCCCATTCCTACCTAGTCAAGATCCTGAAAGCGTGGCTACCCCTCTCTAGGCTGGCTAGGGGGTTGGTAGGAATCCACTTTCACACACACTCGGCTCTGAGGGCTAAGCTTTAATCTCCTGCCAGTGGTCAGGACTCAAGGGAGACGATACAGAAACTGAAACAGCTTTTCAGCTGAAGGTTTCCAGTAGTTCATTACAATCTCAGTCCTGAAATGAAACCAGCCCATTGTTGTCAAATGGATCTTGTCCCAGGGATTTCAATTACAACTTCTAGAAACCCTAAACCAATTACAATAGTTTGTAGGGGGAAAATACTACGAAAATACCTCTCTTCCTGTTCTAGATTTCCAGAATGATTTTAGTTACTTAGGTCAGCCATTCTGTACTGGCTGCTTTTATTCCCACAGCTCATCATCTTCATAGTTTCTCTGAAGCATAACAAGTTTTTATCTTACTGTAGAATCCCAGTTTTTCCCCTTTTAAATCATTTTATTGGGCGCTTGTAAAACTCTTATCACAATCTATACGTCAATTGAACCTGACATGGTTTATATATGTTGCCTTCATTCTTTTCTAGACATTTACTTTTTGTCTTTAGTCATTTTATTAGGGGCTCATACAACTCTTATCACAATCCATACATACATCAATTGTGTAAAGCACATGTGTACATTCATTGCCCTCA